GTAATTAATATAGGTTGTTCATTAGTAATAATTCATGGGAGAGTATGAATGAAACAAACCATTGGATCTTATCTGACCTGGTTATAGGTCAGGTTTTCGGTGACACCTTAAAAAAAACCCAAAGGGGACGCAGCTGCTCATACACCGTCCGCCGGAGCTTTCCTGCTGGTCGTGTGAGGTTTAGATCCCCAGATCCGAAGACCCAGGATTTCCCAGTGCGAACTGGGTGGCAAGCCGAACTAAACCCAAAGAATTGTGAAGTGAGGAGGAGGACCGACATTTGTCAGGAAGGGCCCCAACGTAAGGAGGACTAATTTGGGGAATAGAAAGGTTTTATTTTGCCGGCTTTATCATTTAACTTGTTTTCTTTTCCTAATTGTTTCCTGACAACTATTGGTTTGAATGTCACCAACCTGTAATAATAGTTATAAAGAAAAAGCCAAAACTCAAATGGTCTGTGTGTTTCATCATTGATATCCACAGCACTGGCTCTTAACAAACGTAGTGTCTTCTGATCATTGGCCCAACTGTCAACATTGATTATCACCTACCTGTACTCCACTACCACGCTGTGAAGGTGAAAGAGGTTACATTTATGTTTGTTATTGGCTTGCAGCACTGGCTTAAAGCAAAGCATTCTGTTCCTGATGCAATGCATCATGGTTAGATTTTTATTGTCCGCTGCAAAACGTCACCCCGCGTCACCATGTCACATGGTACTAAAACCTCGTGAGAGCAAGACGACAAGACGGATTGTGCAGCACCTCTCAGCCAGCTGCACAAAATGGAACCGCTTCCATGATGACACAACTTTGCCCTTATTGGCTGAAGATTTTAGTCACACACATGACGTTTGTTCCAGGAAGTTCCGATGCGTTATCTGCTATTTCTCCCGAAAAGCACGTAAAGCAGTGAGAACTGGTTTTCATTTAATTTCCTTGGTAAAATAAAGTTTAAATAAATGACATAAATGCTGTAATAGTACACATGAGTTAGTTGTTTATTTATTGTTAGTTGCTGTAATGTTGCGCTGCTAGTCTGTGAAGAAGGCATTCAAGTAAGAATTGCATTGTACTCTGTACATGACAATAAAAACTTTGAATCCTTGGAATAAATGTATTTGATCTGTTTCCTGGCAACTATCTTTTTACACAGGGCCACTATACACAATAGTTTATTTTTTTTCCACTGCTAACAATTTGGATCAGGAGTTAGTTATTGTGTAAGAAGTAATGTGCATGCAGGTGATATTTGTATAGATTATCTACACCCTTCGGGTAGTGCTGCCACTGCAGTCAGGTCTCGCAGACTATGAGGAGTAGAAGTTGTCTGACTTGGCTGAAGTCAGTTTATACTCCAGCCCTGCAGGAACCGGCAGATCGCGCTCCAAGACATGTCAGCTGCACACGAAGTCGAACGCACCTATTTATATTGTTTTATTTATTTTCTATTTTATGTTCAATTGCGAAGTCAAATACGAGAGAAGCCTGTCATTTGAGTTTGTGGTGAAAAATTTTATGTTGCTAGATATTTGTTCTGTTATTTACTGCATATGATGATGGTGATTATTTAAAACATTTCACCATACATCTGCATTTTTTAGCATTTTTTTTGTCTTTCAAATTAATCAAATAAAAGGCTGCTTTCTAGTAATGTATTTCCTCTTTGAAGTTTTCCTTAAAATATTTTTAAAATATCGTCTCGTTCTCGTGAACCCAATATCGGGTCTCGTCTCGTCTCGTGGGCTAAGTATACCGTTACACCCCTAATTACCTGATCATTTATGTACCAATGTGTTCAAACTAAATCTTCACTAATCAAAAGTGACACCAAAATTCACACCTACATTCCGAAGCACAGGATAAGATGTTACTATCCTTTGTGCAAAGATGAATAGTTTCTATCCTTTGTGCAAGCACGTACAATAGGTTCACTGTTAAGCTTGTCGGTGGATGGCGAATATTAGACTTGGTGTAGGTTGAAAAATTTGGGATGCATCATCAGTAGTGCTCATGGGGTGTTTCGGCCTTTCACACTATACACCCTCACCAGAGGTGGCCAGCTACAGGGTGATCAGCTCTAAGCTTGTGTCCCATGCCCAATTAGTCATCAGAGTCACCTTGATGTCAGATGACAGACATCTCATGTAGCTATATATGACAGCCAAAACTTGTCACTTAGGAGCCCAGCAGGGGGCATTCCTCTTCAACCTGAGCCACCGGCTGCTTCTCTCTGATGCAGCTTCCAGCAGTTTCCAGTCGCGTGCAGTCCAGTCCGATGGTGTGGAGTTGCTCTTGGCAACCATCGCCCTCTCATGGACAAAGGCAGTCATCCATGGGGGGTTTTTCCTCCAATGTGGACGCAAGGCTCTTTAGGACCTGCTTGTGGTGCCAAGTATATCGCCCTTGGGTGAGACTGGTCTTGCACCCTCTGAGTATGTGCTGGAGGGAGGCTGGCCTGGAGCAAAGAGCACACCCTGGATCTTCACCAACCCACTGGTGGAGATTGGTTGGTGTTGGTAAGACGCCATAAGTGGCTCTGATGGTAAAGCTGAAACTCATTGCCTCCATAGCCCACACATCATTCCAGGTGAGCTTCCTCCTTTTGACACTGTCCCACTGCATCCACTGCCCCTGTTTACCGAGGGAGACTGCCTTGGCCCACCTTGCAGCCTCCTCCTGAAGGCGCACTTCCTCCACCACCATCCTCCTCCATGCTGGAGCCGTGGCCTTACTCCAGGCTGGCTGACTAGTTGTTAATCCAAGGCCTCCTCTTCCGTGTTGAACACTTCTTATACACTTTATATGGGACTCCATTTGGCCCCGGGGCTGTTGCTGTTCTCGCCCGATGGACTATCATCTGCACCTCTTTCCATGTTGGAGGGCCAGTCTCTAATTGATGTTCTGGGGGGTCGATTGGTGGAATGTCTGAGGGGATGGCTAGGTGTTCATAGCGTCTTGGATCAGAATGCGTTGTTCTAAAGTGCTCCTCCAGGTCATTCTTTGTCGTTTTTAGAACTCCACTTTTTTCCTTGGTGAAGAGAGTCTTTAGGAATTTCAAGGGACTTCTTTCTTCCTTCTTCGCTTCCGTAGATTCTCTGCCTTACGGAGGGATGCCAGACGAGTTTACATGTCAGCTTGGAGAGTGCTTATGCCCTCCTTTTCCACTCCAAAGGCCTTCTTCCAAAGTTTCTTTAGTTGTCTCCTTTCTTGAACGAGGCATTTAATCTCCTGTTGCCTCCTGGAAACTGATGGAAATGGGGCCTGCTTAGCACCTTTTGGCTCTTGTATTCTGAAGCGTTCTGCCCCATACTGATAAATGATGTCTCCCATTCTCTCCAACTTCTTCTCCACTGTGCCTCTAAGTTGCTTGAGAGTCAAGGTCAGGTCAGAATTCACCATGTGCCAAAGATTTTTCTCCCCAGCACAGGGCAAAATCACACGCAGCCTGTGTCCTGGAAGTCTCCGTTCAAGTGCAGGTCTGAGATTTTGGTTGGTATCTACAGCTGATGTTTGTTCAGCGGTATTGATGCACTGCAAGCTATGGTTTGCGTTCGGCTGCTGCGCTTCACTCAACTGATTTGACCCCTTTCGCAGAAAATAATCAATGCGAGGCCCCTGTCTCTCTTCCCTCAAGCACTTTTTCTTTCCCTGGTGAATCCTCAACCCCTGGAGAGATGTTATTTTCCTCCATCCACAGGTACATGTCTGCAGTTTGTGGTCCTTTTTTTTACCCTGGTAAAAGGAGCAGGTGCCCAAATGAGTTCCTTTGATTGGCCAAAAGGGTACTCGATCTGATCACCGAATAGTATCTGCCCCTCTGAACAGTGCCCGCCCCTCGCCCTACAGGTACGAATGACTTTTGCACCACATTTCACTGAGGTATTTGGTGCGAAATTGAGAGCAAGTGAGAGAACAGTACTTGAGACTCGTAGCGGCAGATTCGAGCAGTTGTAATTACTGACTTGTGTTTCCGCTAGAAAAATGGCCAAGAAAAAAATATAGTTGTGAGAAAATGTTCTATGTGTATGCAGCTCTCATTGTACGAATTCACGAACTAATATGCCAATGTGTCACTTTTGTCCGTAAGTTCACATTTTTGGATTACGGGAGTGCGAATGTGTTTTGCACCATATTTACTGTGACAAGTATAGCAAAACTGTGAGTGTTGGAGTTTCTTAATTTGTGATGCATGGAATAGGATTTGTGCACCTGTAATGAGGAATTTGTGAATGCGTAACCATTGTGTTGTGCTTGTAGGAGAGGAACAAAATGTACAAGTTACATTTTTAGGTTACGGGTGTGCAGGGTTAAGGGTGTGCAAATGTCTTTTGCACCATATTGCAGCAAGTGTAGCAAAACTGAGAGCGTATGAGTTTCTTAGTTTGTGATGCGTGGAATAGGATTTGTGCACCTGTAATAAAGAATATAACCGTTGTGTTGTCTTTGTGGAAATCCTGTGACTTCAAATTTACTGATACACATGTGTGACGCTTTTTTACAGCTACAGATTGCACTGTTACAGATGCTCAGGTGTTTTGCACCAATAATACCTCCATACAAAGTCATTTATCAATGGTGAATATTTATTTCTGAGGCTGGATACACAAAGGCATACACTTTGGACAAACATGTTTCCTGTCATCTTTTTTCATTTGTTTACCTCATACAATCACACAGGACAGCAAATACTTTTTTTATTATTATGTTGTGCTCCTGAAGTAAATTTTTTATGAGTTCTGGTTACTATGGCTAACCTGTGATCGACCCCACTGTCCTCATCTTCCCTAAGTTTTGGCTCTCAGATATGGAAGCACTGCCCAGTTCAGGCCTGCTGTATGGAGAGAAACCAGTTCCTGACACCAGATGGTAAAGACAGGCAGCATCCCAGGGTGCCATTCACCCTCAGCATACCTGGGATCTCCCGACGGCTGCAATCCATTTTTCAGCAACAGAGGAACTCTGCCAGCCGCACCTTCAGAAGACAGAAAAAAATATGACTCTGTGCTTGCTCTGTGCTGAATTGAGTGTTGGAGAAAGGGGCATTGGGCGCCACTGAACAGGACATAATCTATTCAACTTGAGCACGACGACAAACGGATGACCCTGTGGGTCTGAGGAGTGGAATATTAAGGAGGCTAGCAGCGTTTAAAAGCTGCTGACGCAGGGAGCAGTGCAGCTGGAAAGCCCAGAGCACATCCTTTGTTCAGACACTGGATGCAATCCACTCTCCCTGCCGTACCTGAAGCAGCCTGATGTAGGGCACGTCTGAGACAGTGCATCTCTGCCTGATGCTAATGCCCCGGCAGCCTTGGGCTACATCTCCACAGTGGCCTGTGGGTGGCAGTGTGCACGCGGCTGCTCAGGTGAGGTTGGAACTGGCAGATAACAAGCCTGGCCAGACCCTTCCTACATGGGTGGGATGGCGGAGAGTGAGTTGTTTGGGCGGTTTTGGGTTTTCTTGTCCCATCAAATGCCCTTGTGGTCTGGTCTGGAGCTCTGCCCCTGCTCTGACCCAGAAATGAAAAATGTGTAACCTTTTGGGCTCAACACTCAAATTATTTTCTAAAGCTCATCACTAATAATGTTATTCTTAATTACACTAATCAATACGGATGTAACGATAAACGTAATATTGTAATAAAAAAATACCTCAAAACCATTGTCGGACTGTTCCGATATCAACCAAGATATCACGTGGCTAGTTTGCTCGTATAACCTCCATCTCAAAAAATACATACTACATTAACGAATGCTTTGTGCTCTATTGGCTGTGTGTAACCCACATTAAACCCATTACAAAACTATTACAACAATATCTTATAAATTGTTCAAATAGAAACAAAAACACATTTACAATATATTGACAAAACAATAATTTATCTCTTTAAGATAAAAGATGATTGTATGCAGAATGTGAGGTGATATCACAAAGTAACATGGAGAGCACGGGTTGTTTTTTTGCAGAAGTGGTTGAGGCTGGCTGCAGCAAGTGCTGCCATAGGATTTAGAATACGGTAAAAAGAAAACTTTTTAAACTTATGTGGTGTAAGAAGATTTTTAAAAATTAAATAAAGGAAAATAAAGATGGAAGAAATGTTTTAAACCACAATAAACAGTTTTTTTTTCTGCACTACATTGACACTTCCGAAGATATAGAACAGATATTGCTGCATGTGCTTCGAGGAACAGAGACCCACCGAACAGAGTTCATAGCAGGATGGCAAGCTAGATCCATGGAGCAACTGTGAACTTTGACTTTCTTACAACGTGTGCAGTTAGGATATGATGGACTGAATTGAACTGTATATTAACCTTTGGACATTGTTATGCCTGAATTGAACGGTATATTACACGTGCACTGTTTTCACACATTATTTATCGTGTTAAAAATAGCAGAAAATACTACTTCGGAATTGCAGATTGTGTTTTGATTAAAAGATCCAGCTGCTACAGTAATAATTAATATTTTATAAAGGAACTACTGACTGCTTGTTGTTTTATAATTACATGCATTGTTCAGTCATTCATTGCAAAGGACAATCACTGCTAAGTTCTGGCAAAGACTTAAGGTCATAGCTGGATATGTCAAAAATGAAGAAAAGCAGAAGCACTTTATGTTAAAAAGAAGAACTAATTTGATATAAACATGTTGATTATTAATTACTAATTATTAAAAGAGTTTTTTTCTTTTTAAATATCATGATAATTATCTTATCATTAACTATTTATTGCGGTATTATTGTACCATGAGTTTTTGGTATCGTTACATCTCTACTAACCAATGGATAGCTCTCAATCTTCAAGGACAGGGCAAACTTGGGCTTGTAATACCTACCTATTACAACAGCTACTGTGTCCAAATTCAGACTGAATGCATCACAGCAAAGGTGTCCCATTTCGGAGGCTCCTTCAAGTGAGGCCTGGTAATGTGTCTTTCTTTTGCCAATTCACAAAGGATTCACCTTCCTTTGAAGGATGCAGCCCCTGAATTTAGACACATGTATCCAGACATCAAGATCCTGTATAAGACCCATGCTGGCTGAAATTGGTCAGTACAAGTCATTGTACCCCGGAATAGACTTTCCCAGGGAGGCTGAGAAGTGTGATCCCCCTGTAGTTGGAACACACCCTCCGGTCCCCAGTCTTAAATAAGGGGACCACCACCCCGGTCTGCCAATCCAGCGGCACTGTCCCTGACCTCCACGCACTGTTGAGAAGGCGTGTCAGCCACAACATCCAGAGCCTTCAGGTACTCCGGGCGGATCTCGTCCACCCCTGGGGCCCGGCCACCACGGACTTACAAAGTACACTAAGATAAAGATGTGTTTAATGACAAAACAAATATATAAGAAATAATTTATTTGCCATTAATTAAGTTTATGATATTGAATGAAATGTGTGACCATGCCCCAGTAAGTGAAAGTGTGTTCCCTACCCCTCCAACTCCAGAGGGTTAAATAAAATAACGGGGATTCACCTGTTAGCAACAAAACATGCCAGAAGCCTTTAGGAAAGATTTCTACCACATTCAAATGAACATGACACTTAATTCAGACAGTCTCAGATTTTTTTCACTAGTAGGAGTCATAAAGAGTATAAAGAACTGATACTTGATTGCTTAACAAGTTAACAATCATGCACTCTGTCATAGTCCATCTACGCCTGTCTGTCATGGAAGGCAAAGTCAGAAACTGGAACAATCAAGAAGTCCTGTGTGGGTCTGTCTGACCCAAGGCTGCCAGCCCTTCACATTGAAAAGCCCTCACATAAAAGGCAGTACTGTGATCTGAGCCTGGCCCTGTAATGACTGCCTCCGGGACCATATATCAGACAGGTGAGAGATCAGGCCTGCCAGCACCATTAAAGCCTGTATTGATTTTAGCCTGACTGCACCATCCCCATTGACACAAAACAGACTGGTAACAAAAGCCAGACAACTCGCTGACCTTTAATCTCACACACCGGTGTAGGAGGTGCTGCTATGCATTACCATTGGTTACAGTGCAGTTAGACTGGAAACAGGAGCAAAAATAGCATTTTTAAGGTGGGGGGCATAACAGGGGCCACAATTCACTCTGAAGAGCCCACCTTATCCTGAGCCAATGATATGTTTTGAATCTGAGTGACATTGAAGGGGGACACTCTGGGAGCTAATCAGCTTTCCGCTGGGCCTGTATACACCGCTGACATGGAGACATTGTCCACCCTGCTCTTCATTAGCTTAATTAGTGAATTTCACAGCAGCTACTCAGACCTACAGTCAATGAGCCTAACCTCAGCTCTAACTCCATTACAGACGCAAAGGGCTTCTATTCTGAGGCTGAAAGGTGGGCTGCCCCCTTTGAAGGGTGTTTCAAACAGGAGAAGAGTGCTCTGAGTGCTGAAATCTACCCTGCTGTGGTCTGCAAATTTTATGAGAGCACTAGCTTTGTCAACCAAATCGATTACCAGCAGGAAGGCCTACTGGCGTTTGCTTGGGTTGGCTGAAAGCGATCAGATAAAGGCCACCTTCAGGATATTAATGGGAATCCTCATTCCTGAATGAGGTCATAACCAGCATCTTGGGAGTCAATAACAGCCTACAGGGGGCTCTGAGAATCTGAGAGGTGGCTGTGTAACCTATGTGAACCAAACCCAGAACCCTGTGGCTGTAAACACAGTGATCTCACTCAGTGAGAGACCCTGGGCTCTTGTTACAAGTTCACTAAATGAGAGCTTTCCTCTGGTCTAAATTGAAGGAAGCTTCAGCTGTCTCTGGGAACGTTATCATATCTGGCCATCTTCAGGCAAGATGAGCATAGGTAGGAAGATGCAGCAAGCCTGATAAGGTCGTGCCGACCCCACAACCTTCTCCATGACCTGCCATCTGCTCCCAGGACACACCATCCTGTTGGTAAAGCTGCTGAAGTCTTTCACCATGATCTTCCTGAGCATTTCAGGGTCAGGGATCACTATGTTTGGTCTCCGGCCTATATAATATCTGAAAGGGGACAAAGGTCTATGAACACAGGTCACCATACTGGGGACTGCCACTTGAAGGCAACATGGAGAGCAGGAGTGGTAAACTGTCATGCCAGGAGACACACAAACTAAGCCATGTGTTTTAAGATGATGTGAGGGGGATATAGGGCTTTCAAAGGAACAAACAGGCACACTTAAGTTCACTACTAAAAACGCTTTATTACTAGTAATACAAAATAACCTTGTATTAAAATCAATACCAAAATATTGGATCAAAGGCAATGCAAAAATAATTCCATATCACAAGTGATATCCAATGGTATTATAAATCATAAGCAATGATCAAACCGCCAATACAAGACATCACACTTAGACTGGGGAGCCCGTTTCAGTCCTGGCAGGAGACCAACACGTGAGTCCCAAGAAAGTGCTGGGCGATGCACGCTCTATCCCACGGCTGAACTCCAGTCAGTACTGAGATCTCCCCCTTCCTTTATACTAATTTTGGGCACTGCGTGTGAGCAGGGGACGAGCTGGCCAGACTCACCCTTCCCCTCAGGCAAGGCGTTGTCCAATTCCCAATTATGACCGAGTAAGCAGCTTGCAGTTTCGATCAGAAGTGATAAGGCAAGTTCCTATACTCAATGCGCCCCCATCCTTCTAAGGATGAGGTAAGCGTCCTTGAGTAGGGTAAGCATCTTAGAACAAGGATTCTTTCCCATAAGATAAGGATACTCTGAAACCAGTCATTTATAAAAAACAAGTTATATAAGTGATCAGAGAGGAGAAAAAAAAAGAACATGCTTTTGCAGTCTAACCTTGACACAATAATATCATAGGTGAATCATGGACGACGTATTTGAATCTCAGGATGATTAGTCCACACATGATCAGAATCAATCAATCAATCACTTCATATGTATGACAGTAACAGGAAGACAATGATTAATTCTAGGTGTTGTGTAAGCGCACAAAAAACACGTCACGTTTTTTGGGGGATATTAAGAGTGTGTACTAAGAGGACAGTGCGCGGGAACGGCGGGGCAGTTTTTCTGGGAAAATAAATGAACAGCTTCAGCTTACAACCTGTCTCGTGTCTTCCTTAATATGCGACATTTTGGCGACGAGGATGGAGCTTGCACTCTCACCACCTTCACCTTTTCTTGTGCTCCCCGGCGAACCCCCTGTCCCTTGGACTCGCTGGCTGGAATCGTTCCAGACATACTTGGATGCCCTAGGACTGCACGGAAGGACAGCGGATCATTCGGACGCTCGGACCTGCGGAGACATATGAAAACGCTGTTTCGCTCCTGGGTTCTCACTATGCAGCTCCACAAAGTGTCATCCCGCGCCGGATTCTTTTTCGCCGAAGGCGACAGCAGCCGGGTGAGTCCGTACACCAGTACGTGGCTAATCTGCTTGGTTTAGCCAACCTTTGTAAATGTGGTGGCATGCAGGATGAATTCATTCGTGATCAGCTGGCTGAACACTCTAACAACCCTAAAGTTAGAGAGCGACTGTTGACAGCAGCAGATGATCTCTCTTTCGCTAGCGCTATACAAGTTGCATTTCAAATATTGTAGAAACAGCAGCAGAGTTTACGTCTCAATTAGCTTACCCTGCTGTCACCTTGCTCCCTGCACAACAAATATCAAAATCACAACCACCTGATAGTGCTATCCCACCTGAAGTTGATTCAGACGTGCATTATACTCAGACACCACGATCGCAACAAGGGCAATGCTGTGGGAATTGTGGCTCATCTTCCCATGTTACTCGGGCCCGGAGTTGTCCTGCCCATGGGCAACGGTGCCAGCGATGCGGCAAAGTTAACCATTTTGCCAAAGTATGCCGTTCGACCCCTGCAAATTCTACAGCGCTCTCACTCCCCACTGCCGCTCCACCTGCTTCTACAACTATTCACACCGTCAGCTCCAAGCTCCAGTCTTTTAAAACCTGTACGGTTGAGCTGGACAATGTCTGCCTTCCCCTCTTATTGGATACTGGGGCTGCAGTCTCCCTGTTAAATCTAGCTACTGTACGGCAGTTTTTTTCCCAGGCTGTTCCTGCTCTATGTGGCTATGGCAGTTCCAAAATTAACATGATAGGCTCCATCGGGTTATCTGTCCGCTATGGCTCTAAACTAGTCCCAGACTTTCCCTTTCACGTCTCACACCATGGTGCCAACTTACTGGGCCTTGACCTTTTTACTGCCCTTGGATTCTCTCTCCTGGATACGACTGGATCTGCCATTTTGACCGTCAGCTCACTATGGCAGCAGCAGTATGCGGCCCTGTTCGAGGGCGTAGGCTGTCTCTCCACATTTAATCACCAACCCCTACTTGATCCATCTGTCACTTCAGTGATTCAGCCCCTCCGTCGAGTCCCCCTGGCCCTTCGTGATGGTGTTACTGCGGAACTGCGCCACCTGCTGGAGGCAGGCATTATTGAGCCAGTTAATGCTTCTCCATGGATCTCAAATTTGGTGATAGCTAAGAAGAAATGCGAAAGTCTGCGCCTCTGTGTTGACCTCCGGGCTGTAAACAAGGCTGTCGTTCCTGACAAGTACCCCCTCCCTTCCATAGAAGAACTCAACTCTCATTTTCATGGCTCGATGGTTTTCACAAAACTGGACCTTCATCAGGGCTAACTGCAGATCCCTCTCCACCCCGACAGCCGGAATCTCACGGCTTTTGTGACGCATGCTGGAGTGTTCCAGTACACACGGGTCCCATTTGGGCTTAGCTCCGCCCCCAGCTGTTTCCAGAAGATTATGGCTACCATCTTCACTGGTATCCCTGGGGTGGTCATCTACCTCGATGACATTGTGGTCCATGGACCTACAGATGCCATCCACGACGAACGCCTTCATCAAGTGTTTGAAGTGCTAGCTAAACACCACCTCACGCTTAACAGTCAGAAATGTGTGTTTTCTGTACCTGCCATCGAGTTTGTGGGATTCCGCCTCACAGCTGAGGGCCTCACTCCACTTCAATCTAATATTGAGGCCATTCAGCGTATTTCCGAACCCACAAATGCTACCCAGGTTGCCTCTTTCCTGGGCATGACAGCTTATTACCTGCGTTTTTTGCCTCACTACTCTGCTACCACGGCTCCATTGCGTCAGCTGCTGCAGAAAGATGCACGTTGGATTTGGACACCAGCCTGCTCTGAGGCTTTCCATCTCCTGAAGTCCCAGCTCACATCATCTCCTATCCTGGCACACTTTTCCCTCTCATGCCCCACCTCTGTCACTTGTGATGCCTCAGCTGTGGCAGTTGGGGCTGTACTGTCACAGCTGCAGGATGGAGTGGACCGGCCCATTGCCTTTGCCTCCCGTGCTCTCAACCCCACCGAACAAAAATATTCTGTGGGCGAACGTGAGGCTCTAGCCTGTGTCTGGGCCTGTGAGCGTTGGCACATGTATCTTTATGGCAGGGCATTTACACTGCGCACTGACCATCAGGCGCTGACAAACTTGCTTGCAACAAGTGGTACAGGACGCAAACCACTCCGACTTTACCGGTGGTCTGAGCGACTTCAGCAGTACAATTTCACCCTGTGTTTCACCCCAGGTCGTGATAACGTTGTGGCAGACCTGCTGTCCCGCTCTACCCAGTTTCCGGCAGCACCTGACTCCATCTCTCAGGAACCAGACCTCATCCAGATGATGTACACACTACTGAAGGCAGCTGTCTCCGTTGATGAACACCAGCTGGCCTCAGAACAGGACCCAGTCCTTTCTCAGCTTCGTACATACATCCGTACAGGCTGGCCGACTAAAGTCTCTGCTGAATTGACTCCTTACCACAGGGTCAGGGATGAACTTTCGTGTTGGAATGAGCACTGCATAGCTCGTGGAGCTGTCACAGTGCTGCCAAGCAGCCTTCAGGCCCTAGTTCTTCGCATGGCACATGAAGGCCATTTGGGCATTGTACGTGTCAAACAGCGTTGTAGGGACCTAGTATGGTGGCCCGGCATTGATAGGGACATAGAGAATCTGGTTAGGGATTGTGCAGCCTGCCTTGTCAGCGGGAAAATGGGCTCATCTGCGCCACCCCCTCTGCAGCCTCTGGTTTGGCCCGCTCGTCCTTGGGAACATCTCCAGTTGGATATCTTTGGGGAACTACATGGAGTTCCACACCACCAGCGGTTCCTCCTTGTGGTGTATGATCTACACTCTAAGTGGCCTGAGGTGGTCTCCACTGGCACTGTCACAACACGGGTAGTCACTGATTTTTTAGATACCCTCTTTGCTCGATGGGGACTTCCTCTGGCTATTACGACGGATAATGGACCACAATTCCTGTCTACTGAGTTCGAAGCCTTTCTGACGGAGCAAGGCATCCGTCACATCCGCACAGCATTATATCACCCCCAGGCTAATGGCGGAGTGAAGCGTCTCAATCAGACCCTTAAAAATGGCATCAGAGCCCACTTAGCTGAAGGTTACCCCTTTTCAGCAGCACTCCTTTACACACTGCTCCATTACAGGGCCACCAAGCACACCACGTCACTTATGTTGGGCCGTGAACTGCAGCTTCCACTTGATCGACTCAAGGCCAGTTCTGTTTCCCCTTCCCCTTCATGCCGCCACAGGGTGTCCGCTCAGCAGCACAAGATGAAGCAGCGGTTTGATCAGTCTCGGAGGGCACGGAACCCTACTATTGCCATTTTGGATTGGGTCAGAATCCGCCACGCTCATCGTGACCACAAGCTGGTCTCATTCTGGTCTCCTCCTATTCAGGTGGCGGGGAAGCTAGGGCCAGCTACCTTCTCTCTTTCTGATGGGTCTCGATGGCATGCTAGCCGTCTCCGCAAGGTGGCAGCTCCAGAATTGGCTAGCGCAAATGTTCACGCTGGCTCTCCTTCATCAGCAGGTAATTGGGACTTACCTATGGAACCAGATACGCTCACACCTGAACCCATAGTCGAGCCCGCTCAAGGCCCAGCTGCACATCCATTCGAGTCTACATTGGAGTCCACTCGAAGATCAGCTCGCCTCCGGACTCGCCCAGGTTACCTAAGGGACTTTGTGACTGAATTCTAATATGCTGACCTTGCATTTGGCTCTCTGTGCAGTTCATTTAATGTGCTGGGTATGCTAAGTATTATTGTACTTTTTCATACCAAATTATGGTAATATGTTGTTTCTCTAGAATATTTAGGGTATTCCAAAACTAGGTAAGTGCAGTTTTCCGAATTGTCACGATTGATTTTGTTCGTTTAGAGGGGGGAGTAAATGTTATGTACGCGCACAAAAAACACGTCACGTTTTTTGGGGGATATTAAGAGGACAGTGCGCAGGAACGCTGCGGCAGTTTTTCTGGGAAAATAAATGAACAGCTTCAGCTTACGACCTGTCTCGTGTCTTCCTTAATACGTGACACTAGGCAACGTATTCGTCTGGAAATTTGTCCTAATACAACTCCACATGGTATGAATGAAGACTCTCTCTCCTGCTTTTGTGATATGTTATTAATACGTGTATATATGATATGTGTGTGTGTGTGTGTTTGAATAGAGCCATGGAAAAAATTGAGACCACTCTATATTTTTGAAAAAATCTGCATTTTTAAATCCTGGTTTAATCATGGTTCTGCTCGCAGAAGACTATGCTGCACAGCAAGTTGCTTTCAGGTTCAAATTTTCTAAGACAGCAGTACACAAGAATAAGGTGAAGCAGGAAACCCTGGGAATGACCAGAAATCAGCCAGGTAAAGGGTGGAAGCGACATTCTAATGCCAGAGATGACCGTTAACTTTTCCGATAGTTTCTCATGAATCGGAAGATGACATGAAGTGACCTTCAAAAGGAATGGGAAACAATAAGTGCAGGTATGAAGTGCACTGCTAGGACAGTTTGTATCAGGCTCCTAGAAGCAGGAATGAAGTACCATAAAGCAAGGAAGAAGCCCTTCATTAATGAGAAACAGGGAAGAGCCAGGCTGCAGTTTTCAAAAAAATATATATTATTCACAGACACACACCCATAACTTGAGAAATGAGTGAAACAAAAAATTGTGCTGCGGTCTCTTAATTTTTTCCACAGCTGTATATGTGTATATATGTGAATGGATTTGTCTTTTTTTTATATGTTCCGGTGTGATATTATCCTTTGTGATGACAGATGATATGAATCCCTATGTTTTGTATACTTTGTTAGTAATCTGGTGTGACACCACTCATTTGGAGTGTGGTCTGATGATGCCCTGATGATGCCC